TTTTTTTTTAATAGAGGTTTTTGCTATAGGGTGCGTGCACTCACCAGAAAGACAGAGAAAGATAGAGAGATAGAAAGTGAGAAATCACATACCCCCCGGGGGGATGGCCACGCTGCAATCCCTTCTCCTCCAGTCTCCTCTCCTCTCAGGATCTTGGGCACGCACACACACCCACCTGGCATGAGTTTAAGCCACCAGGTCTGAGACTCGAACCGTGGTCAGCTACATGGGAGTTCAGCGACATAGCCATTATGCTAACTGCTGGTCCCTAGACTCTCTTTTTAATATGTGGCTTTTGCTGCCCTATTTTGCACATGAGAGAGTTCATAGGTTACCAACTTCCTGTTGGCTACTGCCTGCTCTGTGAGTCAGGAGCTAAGCTTCTGGGAAGGAGCATTTATGGACCTCAACCTTGCCCAGCTCACCTGAGCACACACAGTGAGCCTTCATCCCTTCTGCCTACCTGGGCCATAAGAGGCTAAGGAAAGGCTCCTCCTAGGCAGGTACTGATGTGTTGCCAGGTGCCTTCATCACCGTTGAGCCTTTCCTTACTCCTCATAGACCTGAAATTCAGCTAAAAGCATGCTCTTCAGGAAACATCTCTTTTTTAAGCTGGCACTTGCAAAATATACCCAGAAAGGTGTTCTCGTTGAGACAAGATCTATAGCATCAAAATATTGTTAGATGTAATAATCATTTAAAATTTAACTTAATTGGAAAACTTTAAGTATTTACTCATATTGCTAAATTTTTGTTTGATTTCTTATTTACGCAAATGATGAGAGGATCACATCACAAAATATATTGGGTCATCAGGAAAGCCCTGATGCATTTTTTAATAGAAAAATATGTCATGATTTTCAGGACTACCTAATACATGTCAAGGATATTTAAGTTTATTGTATTGCCAACATTTTATATTAAGTAACTTTTAAGAATTTTATGAATGAAAAGGTGTGTTATGCTACACTGTTTTTGTTTTTTGTTTTTAAGAGAGATTTTTGCTATAGAACATGTGCGCTTACCAGGAGACAGAGAGACAGAAAGCGAGGAATCATGCCCCGGGGGGGGATGGCCATGACATAGTGCCTTCTCCATTCTCCTATCAGGATGTGCCCAGCATGAGTCTTAAGCCACCAGGTCCAGGACTTGAACCCAGTCAACTATGTGAAAGTCCAGCAATGTAAACATTATGCCACCTGCTGGTCCCACATCACTCAGTTTTATATAACATGGAGCTAATCTTTTCACCTGTGGTCACGTGGTTGTTATGAAACCACAAAGCCCACAGGTGGAAGAAGACACATTTTCAAAGTTTCACTTTGGAGGGACCAGCAGTTAGCTGGTAATGGCTGTGTCGCTGGACTCCCATGTAGTCAACTGCAGTTCGAGTCCCGGACCTGGTGGCTTAAACTCATGCTGGGCATGTGTGCATGCGTGCCCAAGATCCCGAGAGGAGACTGGAGGAGAAGGGATTGCAATGTGGTCATCCCCCCTGGGGGTGATATCTCGCTTTCTGTCTCTCTGTCTCTCTCTGTCTGTCTGGCGAGTGTACACGCCTTATAGCGTAAACCTCTCAAAAAAAAAAAGTTTTACTTTGGACATTATAAAATATATGTTATAAAATTTCTATTTGATTACAGCCTGAGTAAGTTGGATTATACATGTCACTTAATCTCTTTTACTTAAAAAACAGATTTTGATTGACAGTAGGAACTATAATTATGTCACTACAGTTAAGCATTTTGTTAAAATATGTTCTAGAAGAAGTTGCAAGTTACAGAGAGAGCTTCCAGTTTGGCTCATCATTTTCTACTTAAAAGACAAATTTATTTTTGAGGCATCCTGACCCCACCACCATCATTCATCTCATCCACACATCTTTCAAAACATTTTTTATTGTAATTCCACTGCATTTTGTCATGCAACATTGATTTTGAAAGACAACAGAGGAAGGATTTCTAGGTTTATGTTTCCATAAAAATCTCTTTTCTTTCTTCTTTTTTTTCCTCTTTCTTTTTCTTTCTAAATTAAACCAGAGTGGTAAGTAAATTTTGGTAAGCAGGCTGGCTTTTATCATACAAAAATGAAGTAAGAGTTTGTGACAGTTTCAGCTTTTTAGCTTTTGAGACCTTGAGATTCTTCAAGCAGCTGGGCTTTGTGACCTTACATAGTCCTGTTTCTCTAAGTGGTTGGAGATGTGCCTGCGTGAAGGCTAGAGTCAGCTCTTCCCACGTGAAAGATGGAGTGAAACAGCAGCCTAGGAACAACCACCTCCCTCAGATGGAAAAGTGTAAAAGGGACCATTCCAAATGAATATTCCCATGAATATACAAAAGATATTATCCCTTCACCTTCATAGCCTCAAAAATCAAATCCTTAACACAAACAAAATAATTTGACTACTGCTAAGCCTGGCCCCAGGCAAACACCCTGAGTCAGGTCATTGCATCTCCCTGTCTTTGTCATCACACTCAGATTATTTTTACCCCCTCTGCCCTTTCTCACAACAGAATCCCCTAGCTGAAGATTTCAGATGCTTAGTCTCCAAAAAAAAAATATATAAGTGACTAAAAAGGTTGTTTTTAATGATTTACTTATTTATTTCATTCAATTTGTTATTACTATGTTTTTAATTTGACCAGAGAGTGGCAGAGAGAGAGAAAAGGAAAGTGAGAAAGCAAAGCGCCAGGTCTAGGACTCAAACAACGGTCGGTGATGTGAGAACCCAGTGCCTTTAACCACCACACCACCTGCCGGCCCTGCTAAAAAGGGTTAAAAAGAGGGAAATTGTTAAACTTCAAGCTTTGGTACCAGACCAGGGAAGATCATATTTTCTAGAGAAAGATATTCAGCATGGTATCTTATCACCTCTTTCCCAGACCCCCCTAAAGCCAACTTTATCCAGATCAGCCAACCTGAAAAAAGTTCACGAACAGAGAGGGAAGCCAGTGGATAGTTAAAACATCATAAATTTATCATGTTCTACCAAAACATGATTTTATGATTTCATAATTAGAAATTAATCATTCTTGTTCTTGAGCAGTGTTCAATATGAGCAACCTTTTAAAGTTGGCTTTAAAAAAAAACCAAGTTGGGCTGGTCCCATGGCATAGTGGTTAAGAGAGCTAGATTCCCACATGACTGAACACAGTTCAAATCCTAGTCCTGCAGCTTAAATAACACACTGGACACGTTTGCACAAATACCCAAAATCTCAACAGAATGGAGAAATGAAGGTATTGGATTGTGGCATGATCACACCACATTAGGGAGTTTTTTCTCTCTCCCTGTATCTTCTGTCTCTTTGTGTCTCTCTGGCAAGTGCACACACTCTTTGACAATTAAAAAGAAGGAAAGAAAGTCCAATGTGCCCAGGAATGTGGTTTTTATTTTCTTAGATTAGCAGAATTACTTAACTGTTAACAAAGACCATCAGAAATAAGTTCACTGATTTTTTTTTAAAAGTCATCCTCACAGTATAGGTAATATTCTAGTAATAGTATAAAGTTTTCTTTATAACTGCATAGAGAATTCTTCTCGATCTTCTTACCTGCTATGATTGTTGTCTTCACTTTCCAAAATGCCAGTTCAGGTTAACATTCATCAAAATATATGCTATCTTATTACCACAGATTCAATGTCTGAATTCATTACCGATCAAAGTCACCATAATGCATGCTCTCCAAAAATTCAAACAGGGAAAGGAAAGTGCTGGCATTCTCTTAGCAATTCTTCTTTACATAAAATTATTTTAAGTAAGAGTTTTTAAGCAAATGCAATTTTTTTTTCTTTTTAGAGAGATTTTTGCTATAGGACATGTGCACTCACCAGAAAGACAGAGAAGTGAGAAATCACCCCCAAGATGACCACGCCGCACTCCCTTCTCCATTCTTTTCTCAGCATCTTGGCCATGCTCGTACACATGCCCAGCATAAGTACCAAGCCGCCGGGTTGAAGACTTGAACCACAGTCAACTACGTGGGAGTCCAGTGATGCAACCATTATGCCATCTGTTGGTCCCAACAAATGCAATTTCTTTAAGACCCATTTTTAATATAACTTTGCCACATGGCATATGCACTCACCCAAGAGAGACAGAGAGTGAGAGAGAGAGAGAGAAAGTGAGAAAGCATAGTCTGGGGAGCAGTCACATCGTAATCCCTTCTCCTCCATGCCTCCTGCTTGTGGGATCTTGGGCATGCACACACATGTGCTCCACATGTTTGTCAAGCTGCTGGTCTGGGATTTGGACCATGCAGCCAGCCATGTGGAATTCAGCTGCCTCAACCACCACCGCATGGGCTGGCCCTAAGACCCATTTTATAAAGGAACTTATGTCCATAATCTACTGTTTGAGACTGGCTCCTTGATAACTGAGTATAGAATAAATCCGCTCATTTCACAGGAAAAGATGATTCTTAAGTCAACACATCAGATTTTCACATTCTAAATCCTCAGAAAACACTGATCCAAACTATAAAACTAACCTGCTTTAAAGAATTCTTCTTGGTTAAAAAAAAAAAAATTATCTTCCCCTTTATATTAACAGTAATTTCCAAACAGAGATTTAATAGATGGGTCTGAGATACTTTGTATATCACAATTTAGAATTACTTCAAAATTTAATTGTAAAAGTCAATTATTTGTTTATGATTATAACTAACTAAAAGTGTAAGTCCTTGTTTTTACATAGTTAAATAATACAAATAGCATTTATTTTATATTTCGAAATATTAATATCTGAATGATAGATATTATATGGCTGGTTTACTCTGACTTATAAATGCTAGAATATTTTAATCCAAGTCATGAATATTATAATCCACCATGAATAGTTTTCCTTATGAGTTTTGAAATGTTATTACAGTAGCTTAGTTCCATTCAAAGTCTAAGTGTCTCTACTATGGATGCTTATGAAGACTTAAACTACCTAACGTAACATGTTAACAACAAAAAATGTTAAAGGTAAAATAAATACAATATTATACTATCTTCTTAGTTTCACAAAAATGTAAAGTTTTTTTTAAAACCCATGCATTTGTCCTGTTTAAGGTTTCAGGCTCTGTATAACTATACTCCTAGGAATGAAGATGAGCTGGAACTCAGAGAAAGTGATGTCATTGATGTGATGGAAAAGTGTGATGATGGATGGTTTGTGGGTATGTGTTCATTTCTTTTCAGACACATTTGGCTATTTTATCATTTGCTTGAGTTTGCTCACTGACATGGTTCACTGTGATAATCAAGCTTTCGTTGAATTCATAATGCCTTTGATTTATCACACGTTCACACACGTAAAGTACTCTGAGGGTCACTGCAGTTTAAAAATAGTGTCATATTTACTGCTTCAGATATATGTAATTTTCCACCAGTTTTATTTCCACCTTAACTAAAAGAAAAAATTTTCTCTAAATAGCACCAACCAAGGAAGGCTGAGATCTATGAGCAATGATGAAAATAGTGTCCCCAGATGAATGACTGGTGATGGTTAGTGGAAAGTGTTAGTTGCCAACGGTGAAGATCTACTCTGACAGGAAGTAGAACTGAGTGAACAACTCACCTCCGTACTAGGTCTGTTGTAGGTACCCTAAAAGCCCAGTGATTCACCCTAGCTTTATTTCGCATAAAAATGGAGAGAAGTTTTGTTCTTATCATCATCTTTTTTTAAGAATTATTTTCAACTTTATTTTATTTTTTATTTATTTATTTTAATTTGACCAGAGAGGGAGAGAGAGGAAGAGAGAGAAAGCAACCCACCAGGTCCAGCACCCTTAACCACCACGCCACCTGCTGGTCCCTGTTCTTACTATCTTAAAAGAAGACTAGAGGTTTTCTGAGAAAACATTGTAGACAAAGTTCTCATATACCAGGACACAGAGAACAAAGGGGAAGGCGAGATATAGGCCTAGAAAAATGGAGGAGAACAATGAGAGCTTCTGTATCAAGGTCCGTCACTGGAGAAATAATAAAAGCTAGAAGGCCGCATTTGCAGTCACCGCCTGTGATTGTATTTATATGCATTTATATTAACCCTCATCTAGCAGAAAACTAAAATGGTTAAGCTATACTGGGAAAGAGAATAGCAGTCATGAAACCAAGATAATGAACTTCAGAGTGTAAATGAAAAGCAAAACTTTAGAGACTCACTTCGTTTAAACCAGAAATCCTAATGAAGAATTTAGTGCACCAACTTTTACACGAGTTTCTGGGGAACTACATTATTTGAAACCAAAGGCAATCATAATGTTGGCCATTTGTGCATTTGGTTTCATTCACCATGTTAGAAATCATGCCCAGTGATAAAACCCCCAACCACAAATAATGGATAATTCTCTTTATTTTCTTTAGTGACTTTGTAAACGGTCCAGAATGTCCATATTGAGGACATTGGCAGTGCCGTTTTCAAATGAACAGTGTAGCACTGAGCATGCTCTTCTACAAGATATTTTTAAATGGGGTTTGGGGCCAGCTCCACAGCCTACCATCTAAGGAAGCCCTGTCCCACATGGCTGACTATACAGCACAAATCCTAGCCTCAGTGCTCAAAAAACACGCCAGGCATGTGTTCATGCATGTTCCAAATACCAACAGGATGGAGAAATGGAGAAGAGATTGAGGCATGATCACACCCCATAGGTGGGGGTGGGGGTGCTTTCTTCCTCTCTTTCTCTCTCTGGTGAGTGCATGTGCCCTCTGGCACATCAAATAAATAATAGGAAGGAAGGAAGGAAGGAAGGGAGGAAGGAAGGAAGGAAGGAAGAGAGAGAGAGAGAGAAAGGAAGGAAGGAAGGAAGGAAGGGAGGAAGGAAGGAAGGAAGGAAGAGAGAGAGAGAGAGAAAGGAAGGAAGGAAGGAAGGAAGGGAGGAAGGAAGGAAGGAAGGAAGAGAGAGAGAGAGAGAAAGGAAGGAAGAAAGAAGAAAAGAAAATGGAAAAGAAAAAGAAAAAACTGGAGCTTTGACAATATTCCAGACAATACCTATATGGTACACCTGTGTTGAGAAGGCCTCCTGCCCAGACCCAAACCTTGCCGTCTTTCCCGTCATCCTTGTGTGATCACAGGCCTATTCCTCACTCTCTTTAGCAGCCTTGGTGACTGGATTCTAACACACCTCCTCAACAGCATCATCTTTCCTTTTAGATTGACAAGCTACTTCGTTTAGCCAGATATGAGGGTAGCACATTTGCCCTTCAGAGGCAATGGATATACATTGGGCAGGACAGACAAGACCACTCATTTCTTAGTCTCCTCCTCAAGCGAGTGAGTGTTCTTTTCCAAACCCTTCAATGCTTTCTCTCATAGTGACAGCTTACAAATACAGAGCAATCAAGCCCACAGGTAAAAAACAATCATTCTTTGTTGTTACCTCCCCTTTCATGTATCCCCTCTATTTTCAGGAACCTCAAGAAGAACCAAATTCTTTGGTACTTTTCCCGGAAATTATGTGAAGAGGCTGTGAATCACTCTCCCTTCTTATTTATGCTGCATTTCGGCAACACATCTACATAAACTTGCCTGAAACATCCCGCAGGTTCCCGTTGTCATGCCTTATGGTGTCCAACCCGCCATCACCATCCGCACCTGCCACCAAACCACCAGCAGAGTAACCACCGCTGAGAGCCTGGGGGAGACAGGGCAGACTGGCTTCCGCATGACAGTGCATGTTCCCGCGTGCTGCGCTGAGCTTTGCAAAGTCAGTATTTGAGATGAAAAAGAAAGTCGCTATCCTTAAAAAGAGTAAAAAAAATTTAGGCAAAAGAAAGAAAGTTCACCAGGAGGCTCTGTGGTCTCCTGGTCCTATGTCAACATTTCTGGAAGATGTTCTCCCCTCAGGCAACCAGAAGATTGTTTATTAGGACATGCTGTGGTTTGCATTTTCACATCCTGAGCTTGGCACTCTATTTTTCTTTCACGAGTTTGCCTAGTGTCCTGGTTTACACACTCTGACAACTGTACTTCAGCTATCGTTTGCCTGCACTTATATGTTGTAATAGGCACAGTGATTATAAAATCTAAAGCAAGAATAGGAAAGTAAATTTGAATGAGTATGACTTGGTTGATTGAATGTGAGTTTCCAAATAGGCGTCTTTTCCTGCAATTCCTTTTGTACTTTTTAGAAGTGCAAACAGTGAGTAAGAGCCTTTGGTTAATAATCATGAGAATACAAGAAGTTTAGCTAGACTCTGAAAAAAAAAAAAAAAACTATTGTGTTGTAAAGTTGCATTGCTATTTTATATTAAAATGTAATAATCAGCATTATGAACAATGAGCTCTTAGTGTTTTATTTATCTGATACAACTTAAATAAAAGCAGTGTTAGTGAGAGGTGCAAAGACTGATGCTAACATAGACACTTGAACGTATCTGTAAGCAATATCTGTAGGTAAGACTTCACTGTGTGTACACATATGCATTGAGATTGTATGAGAACATATCATCCGTATGATATGTCGTACATTTTATGGAAATGTAAGAGAATCCCACACATTATTTTATAGAAATAGAGTACTTCAGAGGCATCACAAGTATTAGAGCTGGTTTTAGCAAGGATTATGATCAATACATTTATTTTTACTACGATAATTATTTTTCTTCTATGGAACTCAGAATCCTGGCTACATTTGAGAACAGGAATATGTTGAGTCTGGTTTTTCCTGGTGTGTGTAAAGTTTTTCCTGGGAATAAATTAGGCACGTTGTAAAGACGATGTTAAATCATTCGGGTTATATTTTCTGCCTTGAGGCAGAAATGTATAAGATGATATTGGGATCTGAAAGATTTAATATGGTTAACAGTGCCTGATTTACACATGCCCCGAAAACTAGCTTTGTATTTCTTATGACTTTGCATAAGAACTCTTCATCTTTGGATCTCGAGCACCTTAGAGATAAAACTTTTTATGGCATTTCTTCCGTGGACAGTGATTGATCTTTTCACGATGTATGTAGAATTTAGTATTTTGTACATATGTTTGCTCTTGTTTTGTACAGACTATTTAGTTGTTGAGAAAATGGGGAAATTTCCTAATTTGGTCTTTATCCTGCACTTAAACTAAACTAAAACACTTTCAGCACATTATTCTTCATGCATCTCACAGGTCACAAGCCCCCCATTGGTAGTGTGAGTCTGTAAGAAGGCATTTATGCAAAACTTTATGATTTTAAAAGATCTTAGCAGCCAACCCAAAATGTACATAAATACTGATTACAGAGAAATTTCATTAGGAAGAAGATAAAGGAAAACATCATTGCATAGTTTACCTTAGTTACTGTTAAGTTCACAACCAGCTTTTATTTTAAAAGGCTTTGGGTTTGAAATGAAGTCAACTGCATGCAGCTTTGCTGATAAATGAATAACTCTCTCTGATGCCGTTTATGAGAAAAGACTTCAATATCTTTTGCCTGTGATATTTAAAAAAAAATTACTGTTTCTATTCTCTGTATCTGATTTTAAAAAGAAAAATATTCATACCTACCTTTCAGGTAATTGACTGAATTCTTATAAGCAAAGGTCATTGTGTTTTTGTGTTTTTCTTGAATAGACATCGAATAAATTTTGCTTGAAAGTATACATCAGTTTTCTTCTTGATATTGATCGTCACATAAATTGTGTCTTATTCCAGCTTGTTAGTTAAACTAAGAGAAAATGAATTTTCTCTGTGTTCTCAACACACAATGAAGAAATCATATATCACTATCAGCTCAGAGAAGAAATATTTTAAACCCACCAGCAAAGCTCATTTATTTGCTAAACACTCTTTGGCTAGAAATTACTCTTCAGCTAAACAATATATTTTAAAATATTTCTGTCTCAAAATAGCTATTTTTCCAAGGAGTTCATTACAAGAAACTGTAAGCATTTTCCCAGTTTACGTATCTTAACTCTTAAAATCATTCCCTTAAATAGCTTTAGCACCAGGCCAGCAAGTGGCGTGGTGATTAAGGCACTGGATTTCCACATAGCTGACCATGGTTCAGGTCTCAAACCCAGTGGTTTGAAAATCACTCCAGGCACATGTGTGTGCATGCCCAAAATCTCAATAGAAGGAAGAAGGGATTATGGCGTGGTCATTCACCCCAGGGGACGATTTCTCACTTTTCCTCTTGCTGTCTCTCTCTGTCTCTCTGAGGGGCACATGCACCCAATGGCAAAAAACTAAAAGATAATTTTTTGAGAGGTTTTTGCTATGGGGCATGAGCACTCACCAGAAAGAAAGAAAGCAAGAAATCACCTCCCCCCCCCAAGGGGATGGCCATACCGCAATCCCTTCTCCTCTTGGGATCTTGAGCATGCACGCACATGCACCTGGTGTGAGTTTAAGCCACTGGGTCCAGGACTCCCACCTGGTCGGCTGCATGGGAGTTCAGCGACATAGCCATTATGCTAACTGCTGGACCCAAAGATAATAACTTTTAAAAAGCTTCAACACCATCGGCATGGCAGCCTCTATAAATACCCACAAGCTTTCAATGAATTTTAAGTTATGTGCGGCAGTAGGATCACTCCTTTCTCTCACAAATAGTAAAACACTAGCTTTCCTACTTGAATCCTGTTCAATATACCTTAATTTCTTCTGGCTCTATGTGCTTCAATCCTTTCCAATATCTGTCTCTCAAATATTCAAAAACATGGATGTTCCTCTTTGGGCACCTCAATGATCAGAAATGTCATTAAGGGGAATATCCTTTGTGTGAAGAAAATACCCTCTAATATTCTTTTGGTCCTGCTTTTTTCCAAGCATTTATGGGTAATTTAACCAGGTGCATCTAAATCTGGTGAAATTATAGATTTTAGTTTTCCTACTCAGTTGCTTCCCATTGCTCTCTTCAAGTGAATCTGTTGCCAAATGATGATCCCTAAAACTACGAATCTGGAATTTCACTTTATTTTTTAGTGAGAGAGAGGGAGATACAGCACCCAATGGGTCTCAATGCCAAGATCCACCCCTCGCCTCAGCCAGCCATGGCTCACACGTGCCTCGTGTGCTCAGGAGGTCTCTGGCTACCAACCCACAGCCTTCCCATCTGCCTCACAACGTAACATATTTTGTAACTGCACCACCACCCAGCTCCTAAATCTAATATTTTTAATATAGATGCATGGAAATATAGATGTTCTTGTCCCCTAAGAATTAATCATTGGTGCTTCCCCCTAACATCTACTGAGGTGCAGCAGCAGCCTCATAAAAGCACTGAGCTAGGGAATCCCCAAACAGCTCTGTGGTTTCCGCAGACTCCACCACAGCCATCCAGGTACTTCTTGGGGTCCTGAACAGTACGGCCCTTCTGCCATGTTTCCTTAAGCAGCTTCCAGGATTCTGGGTAGGATGCTGAATTATTTTTTGCTTCAAAATTGTTTAATGTTTAGTAACCCATTTTATTTCATTTTATGTTAATGCACGCTGATCATGACACACCAAAAAATTACTTAATGCATCTTATTTATGCCACTGACCACCAACTTGGCAGTTGAAGTAGGCTCCGTTGTCATAAACATAACACAGTGATGCTCACAAAGCACTGTACATCCACCAGTTTCTACCTGCTAGGAACTTACCCTCTGTGCACTAGCATCTAGCCAATAATAAGAGACCTTTTGAATTTATGTGCCAAGTTTTAATCCCTCCTTTGGCTACACCATGTAGCCTGTCCATTTCTCGATCAAAAGCAGAAAGAACCAGTTTGAGTAACTGTTTCTGTAATCATTCAGTCCTTGACCTCTCTTTGCAGGTGGTTGATTTGTATGGCCTGATCGTTTATTTCTACAGTTTTAGATTTTAGCCATAAAAGGAAACATGTTTATTTTACATAAGTTTTTTTTTTTTTTCATCCATGAGCAGGAAAAACAGAGAAAAAGAAATAAGTGCTATGATCCACACCCAGCCTCAGCCAGCCGTAGATGATGGGTATGGGCATGCCCAGAGTACTCAAGGAGGTCTCCAAATGTGAGCCAGGAACCCTCCCGGGAATCAGCCTCACAGCACACTGTCCTCACAGCCTCATAGCCTCAGTGCACCAACTCCCCAAGGGAGATATTCTATAAAGAACCATTTCATCAAATAAGACCAAGACCTCCCAGCTTTCAAGTGCTTGTTCATTTCAAGGTTTAATTACTTCACCCCTTTCTCCAGATCATAGCTCTCCAACAGTTGGGTATATTTCCATTATGAGTTCTGATTATTTATTCATCATTAATGATTATGGTTAGAGCACAAGCAGAGATTGGCAACCCATGTCCTGTGGGCCAAATTTAGTCCACTACCTACTTTCATGTGGCCAAGTTAAGAGTAATTTGTACAGATGAATATTGGCAGCCAATTTGATGACAAAGAAATACTAACTTTGAACCTCACTTATGTAAAATATCTGCCTTAAAGAATTCCTTTCTTTTCATTAGTAGGTCTACCTTGGAAAAAGCAAGAATATTCTATGATCATGATTATATTTTACATTTAATCAATAAAAATTGGTGGAAATGTGTTTTCTCTTTGTTAGGTAAGAATGTACCTAATAGCCTCAATTTTGCTTGCAGGCCCATAAAACCTAAAATATTTACTCCTCATCCCTTTACAGAAAAAGTTTGTGAACCTTTGTCCTATGATGTCAGCAATCACCTGAAAAGCGATCAGAGAAAAAGAAATGTTGAATTCTTGCTATAAGTCAGGCTGTTATGTGTATTCTGGGTCTTTATCCTCATAATAAATCTAGGAAGCCAAGGCTCTGAGAGATTAAATAATTATCTATACATGTAAGGCATTATACATGATACATGATGGAAATTGGACTCAGAATCTGGTGTATCTACCTCCCAAGCCTGCACTTTTTCTTATAAACCATTCAGGCTTGGTGCCAGACACATGGTTGTTCAAACTGTGCTCAGCTAAACAGCTACACCCATCCATCTCCTTCTCTCGCCACTGTTCCCACAAACTCGATCACGAACAGCCACCCACTCGTAACAGCATCTTACTATGTGCAAGATGACGAGAAAGAGGAATATGCCCAATCTAGCATGATAGTGTTTCCCTGAGGAATGCTAATCCTGGTTTCTAAAAGTCCACAGTAACCAGTGAAGATGTCATTTCAATTCCTGATGGGTTATAACTCAGCATGAACCCACCCGTCTGTGAGCTTTAATTCAGTCATGCACCAGACGCCCTTTCCAGTGAGCCCGCCGGGCAGCAGGTGGTGCTTCTGGGAAGTGCATTGTTGAGCCGCTTGGAGACAAGCAAGCCCAGTGTGCTCTAGGAACACAATGTGCTAACTGGACGGCTTTCACAAAGTCCCAGGATGCACCAGCCATTCTCTGCTGCTTGACTTGTTAGGTGACCCAGAGCCTTCTTAGCTCACTGCTAAATTCAGCCGCTCTGTAGCTCAGGAAAGTTCCATCTGAGCTCATACACATACATATATCTTGACCCAAAAAACTTCCAGTACAAGACAGAAATCTGCCTAGTGATTCTTCACCTGTCCCTTTGGGGTTTCTGGTTTCATCCCTTTCCCTAAAATACGATGGTGATTCAGTTGTCCCTGTGTCTTCCAAAAATAAGTGCCATTTCAAATAAAACTCTCGTTACCATTAATAACATCAGTGGACAGGAGCCAAATCTTGCACCCATATTGCAGAATATTTGAGAATGACTTTACAATGTTTCTCTTCTTTCATTACACAGGCAATAGATGTTCATTGTATGACAAAGTAAAAATATTGATAAGCAAAAGCAAATAAATGTAGGTTCCCAAAGAGTCTCATTTAGGGTAAGGGTTCCACTTTGGAACATACCCTCCCACAGTATTGTTCTGTACATGCATATCAGTGCATTGCAGGGGAGGACAGTGTAGGCAAAAATAAGATTATATTGAATATAAACTATTTTATTACGTATACCTACTCTTGAGCAGAACTCTGAAATAAAGTAAATAAATCATATTTTCAAATCAACTTGGTATTACCAAGACCTATAAAAAGAATGAGAAAAGGTCAATCCCCAGGATGTCAAAATGCAATTATATCAAAATCATGAGGCAAGAATTACAGAATTAGGGGCCAGATAGTAGTGCAGAGGTAAGACAGGACACTCTGTGGGGCAATTCACATGAGAAGGTTCCTGGTTCAAGGTCAGAGACTTCCATGAGTATTCTGGGCACACATATGTCCAAAATCCAGAGCTGGCAGAAGCTGGGGGTGGGTCACAGCATCAGTGCCCTGCTGGGGTAGCTCATCTTTCACTCTCTCTTTCTTTCTTCCTCTCTCTTGCTCATGGAATATATAAATGAACTTTAAAAAAAAAAAAAAAAGAAAAAGAAGAATTACAGAATTACCTACCAGGCTAGGAAATTGATTAAAATATGAGGAATTGGTAGAAAAAGGAAAGAAAAAACTAAAAGGTGAAAAAGAAAAAGTATTTATCATCCCCCTGCCATAAGCCATGCATCACATACATCAGGCATCTTCACAGCTGAAGAGTAGCTGAAGGAAGAGAGAAGTTCAATTAAGAAATGTATGAACTGGACCAGCAGGTGGAGGGGCGTTTAAGGCAGCTGGACCTCACATGACTGAGTGATTCGAGCCCCAGATCTAGTGGCTTGAAAATCACGCTGAGTACACGTGAGTGTATGCCCAAAATCCCTAGAGGAGAATGGAAGAGAAGGGATTGTGGGATGGTCATCTCCTCTAATGTGTGATTTCTCTCTCTCTCTCCTCTCTCTCTCTCTCTCTCTCTCTCTCTAGCATATATGATCTATAGAAAACTGTTAAAGCAAGAAAGAGAGAAATGTGTGAACTTCAGAGTCATTGGCTGTAATATCTAAGCCATCCTAGGGATTGGTAAAGTACCTAATTTTTGAACCCAAACTTAAAGAACAAATTATACATAATTTTGAAAGTAAATATTTTTCCAAAAAGTTAGATCTAAAATATTTTTATAATGTACTAGCACAGTGCTTCTTATCTTGAGGTGATTTTGTCCCTCCCCCAGGGGGCAATTGGCAACGTATGGACACCTCTGGGCCTGACAGAATGAGGAGGTACTCAGCTGTGTCATCTGATGTGTAGAGACCAGGGAAACTGTGAACTTTCCACAATATCCAGGACAACTGACAACCAAGAATTTATCCAGCCCAGCTGCCGAGAGGTGGTGCAATGGTGCCATGGTCAGGCCCACAGGGGCGGGGTCCTGGGTTCAGATCCCAGGATGCCCATGAGCACACTGGGTGCATGCGTGCTGTGATACAGGTTTCCAAGACTTGGAGGATCATGGTGTGGGAGCCCTGTAAGGGATGCCTGTCTCTCTGTATCTCTCATCTCTCTCTCAGAGGACGAAATGGATAATCTTATAAGGAACAAAGGGGAATTTTCCAGCCCAAAATGTCTATCTTGTCGTGGTTCAAAAGCCCTGCCTGGGATAACTCATACTACTTAGGAGAGTCATATCATACATCATTTTAGAAAAGACTTTTTTAAAATCCAGAATTAAAGACTTGACAGCCAAACCTTAAAGTCTCTATCTTCCACCCTGTGAGGGGTTAATATAGATCCTTTGGCAGAGACATCGGGATCCCAAAAATTTGACAGGAAGACCAGAGTACATTTCAGAAGGAGGAAGTTCATCAGTGAGGCACAATGAGGTGCAAAAATAGATGAGTGCTTCTGAATGAACAGCAGTCTCCGGGAAAGGTCTCTGGGCAAAATAGCCACAGTAAAAGCATCTGTGACAGAGGTTCAGGCCAGCCTGGAGGAGAGCGGCCATTCTCTCTGTGGTGATCTCAGCGACCATGTAGTACAAAGCATGTGATGTACAATGAGTTCAGCTATTGGTAAGCTGGCCATGCATAGGCTGGACAGACTCCGCTTCCTTCCAGAAGACACACAGACCACAGGAGGTTCACTACAAGGCTAGGTTGAGATCTCAGTAAGAACGTCAATGATGCTCCCTCATCAGACTTAATTTAGGGAGTCTGTAATCACACACACCATCTGTAATAGATTTGTTCCTGTGTTCCTAGTGGACAAACGAGTGGGAATATTCTCCTCTCCAATCAACGCTATAGTAACAGTGACTGTTATATACAAAAGCGAGAGCTCAAGTTCAGTCCTTGCTATGGCCTGTATTGAGTCTCCCCCGAAATTTGTACCACAAAGTCCTAACCCTAAGCACCACATTTGGAGAGCAGGTCTTTAAAGAAGCAGTTAAAGTATTGGGTTGTCAGAAAAGTCACGCCGTATTTTTTTCTATGTTTTCCTCTGAAAAAAATGTGTCATAACTTTTCTGATGAGCCAATATAATGAGTTATAGGATGGGTCCTAAGTTAGTATGAGTGAAGTCCTCATAAGAAGAGATTAGGACACAGGCATGCACTGAGGAAAGACTGTGAAGACAGAAGATGGCTGGCTAGCTGTGAGCCAAGGCGAGAGGCCTTCAGAAGAAACCAAACCTTCTGGCACCTTGATCTCTGACTTTAGCCTCCAGGACTGTGGGAAAATGAGTTTCTATTGTTAAACTTGCTCCATCTGTGGCCCTTTGTTGTGGCAGCTCAAGCACTAACACAGCCCTTCCACTCTCTCTGCTCCTCAGTTCTCAGTGAATGTTAAATGCAGACAATCTACCTTGTTTCACAGGGTAATAATAACTGACACCCCTTCCAACTCCACCCTCAACTGGATTTGCATATGCCAACAAGCTATGGTAAGGGACAATTGGTGGGTAGTTCAGTTTATCCCTCTTCAGAGAGAAGATACCCTTTTCCCCTATACACACAAGTTCACATACACACACACACACAGAGAGAGAGAGAGAGAGAAAGAGAGAGCAACCGAACAAACAACAACTAGCAGTGTATTCAGTAATGCAGGAAAACAAATTCTAGATTCCTAGCATGTGAAAATTCAGCAAGCTGTTTGCACTCATTGTTAATTACACACAAACTTGCACAGACCGGGTAATTTACCTTCAGTGCAACCTCCAGTGGAAGCTATAGATGCATCGATAGCGATAGAGCCTCCACAAGGAGGTAAATCCATCTCTCTGGTTCTTTCTCCAGTGTCTTTACGTGTCTGCACATGAATGAGAGCCAGGTGAGTACTTCTAGTGAATTTAGACTGTTCCATAATAAAATGCTTCATGGAGTCCTAGATCCTTGAATAACACTTTGCTGAATCTTGAGAACTTAAGAGTGGGCATTGGAGCACTACCTCCCTTTGATGAATTCACTGAACTCATTATGGTGACTGCAGCATCTGTTTAAGGTCTATCATAACGCTATCCAAAGCCTATTTCTGGATTATTATCCTGTCAATCCTTTAGAACTCTCGGTCCTCAAGTGTCTTATCAACAACAGAAATTTATTTCTCACAATTCTGGAGGCTGGGAAATCCAAGATCTAGGTGCCAGCAGATTTGATGTTCAATGAGGGCTCAATTCCTCATGGAAAGCCATTTTTCACTGTGTCCCCTACTTGGCGGAAGGGGAAGAGAGCTTGCTGAGGCCTTTTTTATTGGCTTTTCAGAAAAGTCAAGATTTTTGTTTTTTGGGTTTTCTTAGACAAAAATGCATCATGACTTTTCCAACGACTCAATATAAGGGTACTAATCCCATTCCTGAGAACTCTGCTCTCATGAGCTAATAAATTCCCAAAGACCTCACCTCCTAATACCTGCATAATAGTAGTTGAGATTTAACTTGCAAATTGGGGGGTAGGGGGATGCAAAAGTCCAAGTATAGCAGCAAGTTTTGCAAGGGTTGCCTCCATGGTGAAAACACCCTCAGTGAGAGGCACAGCTGGTGTCTAAATTATAACTGTGCAACTTAGAAAGGATGAGCTTCAGAGGCACAAAACCTACAGAAAATAGACACGGGGAGCTCTTCAAACAAGGCCTCAGGCAATCCGACTGCTGTAAGATCTCTAGTAGGCACCTCCCACAAGACCAGATTGTTTGTTTTACTCTGTTTCACCAGATGTTCTCAATCGTTGGCTTAAAGAAGCCATCTCTAATGCACGCTCAGAAGAGCCTCCAAAGAAATTGTCAACAGTCTGCTAACTCAATTGACTGTGTTTGCCAATGAGTATATAAATACTCAAATATATTTTACGGGAAGTGCTAAAATATGAAAAATAAATGAAAGTAATTTCGAAGTTTGTTAGTTGAGTAATCATGAAATATCAGTGTTCTTTACCAGGCACAAATATAGATAAGGCATGATGGAGTATAGATTCAAGAATGTATAGATAAGACTCATCCTGGGGAAGTCCCCTTGAACAAAATGGCAAGGAATCGGCATGCCATTATTGATGACTCACTGACTATTCTTTAATCACGTCAAATAAAATTGGTCTCAGAATTAGATTGGCATAAATATTCCTTATATTGGGTCTATAATTCAATGCCAACCAGAAGTTGTTTGTCGCTGTCATTGCCCAAAGACATGAGCCAGTATCTGAACCAGTGCCACTGTTTTTTTTTTTCTACAGAAGAGCTTTGATATATGGAACAGGATATCAAGACCAAAATTGCATTCATGTTTGGCATTCAAGGCATTCTGGCTTGACAATCTGAATGCCACCAACATCTCAACTAAGTGCCTCTGGGGGCTGGGGCCCAGAGTTTTTGACACATTAAGACATGACTCTTTTTGCCAATTCCACTGAGTTCATCTTAGTGACTCACTATCGTTAGTGAGTTTAACTCAAAGCAAAAGAAAACATACTGACATCAAGTTATTCAGAACCTGTTATGTTACTAAAGACCAGACCAGTAACATGAGATTAGCCTACTTTTCAAACAAGAATGGCCCCATCAAAGGCTGTCCCTGTGAAAACTAACCAGTTATTAGACCATTTATCAAGGTTGCTGATAACATAGGCTTCTCCCTAGAATTATTGGCATTCTTCTCCTTAAGTTTCAGCCAAGAAATCTAGATTCTGTCAGACACAAACGAGTTTCTGTCAGACACAAACTACCAATTTATCTTTGCTCTACTCCCTAAGAAAAAATACTATCATTATTTGATCAAAGCAGTTATAACAAGGTCTCTGGCATATCGTCTTTTCTCTCTCCCTTACTCTCTCTCTCTCTCTTTCTCTCTCTCTCTCCATGACTCTGCTAGTGGAGAAATCACAAAATGTTTATGAATTATGAGCTCAGTGTTATCTAGACCTCCCACCCACCCAACATCCCTCACCATACACATGCACACTCACACACTTAGGCCTTTGGTCAGTTGTCAGATGATATGACAAAAAGCTTAGCAGACATCTGCTCTTGGATTAATGGGCATGGTATTTCTTTCACTATCAAAGATAAATTGCTAGACAGCTGTATTAAAAACCACAGCACACTTCTCAACACTGATGATGCATAGAAGATATGACCTATTTCCCAAATGGGGTCATGAATAATATTTCTACTTCAGAAGCCATTTTTCTCCCTGCAAAAATAGATTTAGAGTAATAACAAGGACTGCAGTGTCAATTTCAAATCCAAAAATGTCTAAGCCTCCTTTTAACTGTGGATGGATACTGATGATGATGTATTATTTGAGGATTGTTCTGGAATTCAGAGTTTACAAAAAGATAGCACATAAAAGAGTGAATGCCTTATTTTGCCAATGCAACCCCCATAAATAATCTGACAAGCACGTGTTTCAAACTCAGGCGTATTTACGTTCCTAAGTTGCCCTGAATTGGCGTCAACCCCAATGGGCTTGTAAAATGGGTATAACAAATGAACGTCACATAATGTTTGTCTGAGTAGTAAATGAGATAAAAAATACAAACATCCTAACATAGTTGGCACTGCATAAAGGATGATTCCCTCCCCTTCTATTCTCTTTGAAGTTACCACTTTGGCTGACTCTAACTAGCATCAAACATTTTAATTTACTTGTAAAATACTCATTTTGGCTGTATTGTCAAATTTGATAGGTCCAGATGTTTGAAGAAGACAATCAGAATGTGGCATTAAAGATACATTGTAATTCAACAAGATTTTTTTAAAAGCAGATATTATATTGCATAAAACAAGCATGGTTATTTTTCACCATAAACTCATCAGTTTTTAAGAAGGAAATGACATAAAAATACTTAGAAGCCAAAACTTGAAAAGGAACAGAACAGAAAAACTAGATAAAACAAGCATAACTAGACAAAATCTATTTTGATAGCTCCCCCATAGAAACCTAGTCTATGAAAGGCTACAGGCCCCCTGCCAGGGCTGAGTGGTGACCAGATTAGAAGTCTAGAGCCTGATGGTACAGAGCCTGCATTCCGTCTTCATACGATCTGTGACAATGAGAAAGTTACTAGAATGTCCAGAACGTCAATGTCCTCAGTAGTGAAATGAAGAAAACGAATTCAGTCATTGACATCCTTCCATTTCGAAACTTCCCATGAAGGTTTTTGTTTTGTTTTGTTTTGTTTTTAAAACATGGTTTTGCCATGTCACAATCTTCCTGCCTCAACCTCTTAGCTGGGATTGCAAGTGTGAGCTACTGTGCTTGGTGTTTAAGTTGAACCAGGAATTGAACTCAGGCCTCCCATGTGGTCCCAGCCTGCAGAGCACAGTGTCTTAGCAATACACCAACACAACTGGATCTATCCATGAGCTCTTGATAGAGCATAGTTCAAGAAAAATATCAACAGACTGAGTGAGAAATGGGACATGACTCTCAAAGAAATAGAAATTCATAAAAACTGGCTATGAGGTTAGAATCCTTCAATGGGGTGAGAACAGGAATTAGGGGCCAGAGACCAGGTGTGCACTCAGTCTCCAACATGAGTGGACTCAGTGGAATACAGGAGACAGCAAAGGATGTGAAGAGACCATTTCTTTAAAAATGTAAAGAAGCAGCCAGCAGATGGCATGGAGGCTAACACAGTTAGATCCCACATAACCAACTTCACGGTTCAAGTCCCAGATCTTGTAGCTTGATAAACATGCAGGGCGTGTGTGCTTATGTGCCCAAAATCCCAAGAGGAGGAAGGAGGGGAAGGGATTGTGGTGTAGCTATGCCCTCTGCCTCTCTCTGGTGAGCACACATGCCCTACAGCAAATTTAATAAAATAAATAAATAAAGACAAAGGAAACATAGAACTAATAACCATATGAGTCATCATCCAACCCCTGGAATCCAAAATAAATTAGTCTTTCAGCTAGCAAATTAGCAACAATGCAAAAATGTGTCTCCATTTGGTTTTTGTGGGAATGCAAGTGGATAAAATTTGGGGTATGACAATTTGATGATTCATAACAAAATTTTTGTAGTATTGCATATGCATTGACCCAGCAATGTGATTTCTACATATTTATTCTAAGAAAATAATTATAAATATGTTCAGATATTTAGCTATAAATTTATGTATTCCCAGGTTATTTCTGACATCAAGAAAGTATAAAAAAAAATCAATATCTAAAATAGGTATTTAAATGTTATTTATCTAATAAAGAAATTGTGGCACATTTTATTGTGAAATATCATGCAATTGTTCTTAAAGGCAAAATGTATATTTTTATGAAGTACATATAGTATGGCCCTAGAATATAAGTAGGTGTGTGTGAGTGTGTGGGTGTGAGTGTGTGGGTGTATGTGTAGGCATCACCTAAACCAAATTCAAATATACTAGGCTGGCCATATGGACGGTCCAATTTTATAAGTCACAAAGAGTAAAACACCCGTAATTTCATAGGGTTCAATCTAATAAATGAATTCATACACAATGAACTAAGACGAACAATATTCACAACAATGGCCATCTCATCAGTGATTATAAATACTTATAGTTTTCAAATGTTTTATCATTATAATGGATATCTTTTTGTATTAAAAAAGTTGGAGTGAGGTCAAATAGTTCATTTATTCATACATGTAAGTCAAATAAGCTCAAAATATATTATTTTTAATGAGACTATATGTACAGATAACCTACAGTAGTATATGTATAGTCCATATATACTATATAAAACAGACATATATATACATATATTATTATATATATATTAAATTAGCCAAATGTCTAATCCTGTTTCATAATCCAATCCAAAGGTTTATGTGTTCACAT